TCCCCCTCTCCCCCCTCTCCCCCCTCCCCTCCCCCCTCCTCTCCCTCAAGCTCCCTGCCAAATGTGCCCAGCACGTTGGGGTCGTGTCCGCCTCTTCGCCTCCTTCTGAGCCAACAGCATGAGCTGTGGGAGTCCCCTTTAACGTCTCCCCTCTCCCCCTATTGCTTGGTGTTTTCAAGAATTCTCAATAACAACCTTCTGAGCCACCATGGGCTGTGGGTGTCCCCTTCAACGTCTCCCCTCTCCCCCTATTGCTTGGTGTTTTCAAGAATTCTCAATAACAACCTTCTGAGCCACCATGGGCTGTGGGTGTCCCCTTCAACGTCTCCCCTCTCCCTCCTCCTCCCCCTCAAGCTCTTTGCCAAACGTGTCCAGCACGTTGGGATCGTAGTCAGCAGCTGCCAACACCCATTTTCTTGCCTCCTTTCGGTTGCCCTCTGCGCTCAGGAGGCTGGGGGAAGCAGCGGGGAGGCAGGGAGAGAAAAGAGAGGATTGTAATCAGCAGGTGTGTCCAGCACATTGGGATTGTAGTCAGCAGCTGCCAAAACCCACTTTCTTGCCTCCCTTCGGTTGACCTCTGCGCTCAGGAGGCTGGGGGAAAAGATGGGTGGGAAGATGAGGCAGGCAGCATGTGATTGGAAAGGCGTGAAGGAGGAGAGAGGGGGTCAGAAAGAGGGCCAGGAAAAAGGGAGGAGGTAGAGGGAAACAGGGAGCAGAGAAGCAGAGAAAAGGGAGGGCAGGGAGACCAGGCGAACAGGTGGTGGGAGGGAAGACATGAGTGGAGGAAAAAAAGAGTGAAGTGAAGGAAAGTGAAGAAAAGTGAAGGAAGGACATGGAGGGAATGTTTTTGAGGAGCCTCAGAAATGAGTGAAGGAAGGAAAGAAAAGTGAAGAGGCGAACAGGCCGTGGCTTGCTGCAGGTCGAACCCATTTGATCTTCATTGGGAAGAAAGTGAAGGAAGGACATGGAGGGAAGGTCATGGAGGGAAGGTCACGGAGGGAAGGTGGGGGACGCAGAGGGAGGAGAAGGAGATGAGGAAGATTGGAGATGGAGGCACCTCGAAACGGAAAATCCGGCACAACACCTTTGAGGTTCGGCACGACACCTTTGAGGTCCGGCACGACACCTTTGTGAATCACTCCACCTTGTTAGGGCCAGCATGGCCTGTGCGTGTCTCATGTGCTCATTGAATCTCCTCACGGGGCTGCTGGAAAAGGCAGAAGGCTCTACGTTGTTAGTCTACTCAGCACTCACCTTGCTAGAGCCAGCATGGCCTGCGCGTGTCTTCTTCTGTTCAAGGGGTCTCTCTTCTGCTCGCCCTTCAACTCCATTCTCACGAGGTAAGAACCCTGAGAGCTGACTCTCCTCAAAGCCCACCTTTGTGAGTCGACTCAGCACTCACCTTGCTAGGGCCAGCAGGCCTGCGCGTGTCTTCTTCAGTTCACCAAGTCCCTCTTCTGCTTGCCCATCAACTCCACTTGTGTGAGGTGACCTTTGAGTCGACCCAAAAGTCACCTTTGTCAATCACATCACACTAACTCACCTTGCCAGGGCCAGCATGGCCTGTGCATGTCTTCTTCTGTTCAAGGGGTCTCTCTTCTGCTCGCCCTTCAACTCCGTCTCTGCTGCCACCTGCAGCAGGGCCTTTGCCTCTAATGGACGGCTCTGAGGGGAGGGAGGGAGGGAGGGAGGGAGGGAGGGAGGGAGGGAGGGAGGGAGGGAGGGAGGGAGGGAGGGAGGGAGGGGAGGGAGGGAGGGAGGGAGGGAGGGAGGGAGGAGGGAGGGAGGGAGGGAGGGAGGGAGGGAGGGAGGGAGGGAGGGAGGGAGGGAGGGGAGGGAGGGAGGGAGGGAGGGAGGGAGGGGAGGGAGGGAGGGAGGGAGGGAGGGAGGGAGGGAGGGAGGGAGGGAGGGAGGGAGGGACGGACGGACGGTGTGTTGGGAGCGATAGAGGAGTGGAAGAAATATTGGGAATTCTGAATAAAGCCGACGTACGCTCTGTTCCATTTACAACAATAACATCAACAGGTAAGAAATCTGACTTCTTGATCTACTCGAGGGCGTGGCGCTGTCAAGACCGTTGCATCCCAATCTTGACTGATAAATTCATCTAGAATCCCATTGTGCAACGTCATCCAACAAGGTAGGCTCCCCCAACCCACCTGTTGTGCCATCGCAACACCCGCCCCCAGGTGTGCTGCCAGCTGTACTGCCACGTCAGCCTTACTCTGGAGGATAAGGAGCATAACGGAGTGGGTGGGTGGGGCATGCCAAAGTGTTCAGCGTCAGAGCAAAAGGAGGAGACCAGGAGGAGAAAGATTGGGACGCAACGGCTTTCACTGCACCACACCCATTTTGAGACGTCTCAAAATGAGCGTACTCTCACATTAGCTTTCACAGCACCATACCCTCGCGCTGCACTGCACCACTCGTGAGGAGTCAATTTTTGAGGCGCCTCAGAGAAGGACAACGGGGGGAGAAAGTTTGGGATGCAACGGTCTCCACAGCGTCACACCCTCGAGCTGCACCACTGTGCTCTAATCCAGCCAGAACCAAACCGTTAGGTGCCCGTACGTTTGACTTCTAGATCTACTTACTGTTCTCCCCTTGGAGTGGTCTATTGGCTGGGAGGGAGAAGCACTCTGCTGCTGCCACCCATCTGCTGGCACCGCTGTGGATCTGACCCAACCGCTTGGAATCTTTGCAGGTAATTACATTGGATTACCAACAGCAAGCACCTTGGAGTGGTCTATGGCCTGGGAAAAGCACTCTGCAGCCCCCACCCATCTCCCGGCACCACTGTGGATCTGAAACAACCCTTGGAAGCCTCGCATTGAACAACCAGCGACTAGTAAGTTCTACTCACCCTGGAGTGGCATATGGCCCTGAATCTTTGGGTTGAACTACTAGCACTTCTCACCCTAGAATGGTCTATGGCCTGTGAAAAACACTCTGCAGTTTCCACCCATCTCCCCGCACCACTGTGGATCTGACCCAGACCCTTTGAATCGGGGGGTTGAATAACGAGTTCTACTACTCACCCTAGAATGGTCTATGGCCTGGGAAAAGCACTCTGCAGCCTCCACCCATCTCCCGGCACCACTGTGGATCTGACCTAAGCCCAGCCACGCGGACGATGCTGATTGATCGATCTCTAGAGCACGCCTGGAGCGGGGGAGAGGTGATGTGGGCGGGGTAACAAGGATGGTGGCTTACAGAAGGGGTTAGGCAAGGCATGCCGGCATACAAATATACTGCAAGCAAGTGACGAAGCACGCACAAGTAGCGCTCTTTTACTTCAGTGAAGACTAGGCTTCTTGGAAGGAAAAAAAGGCAAGCAAATCCAGTTGAGGGGACACTGTGTGACAAGCTACACGCCCACGACGTACTGTAGTGACAATTCGAGAAGAGGAAAATGGGAGAATTTAGCACACCACCCATCAGATAGTTGTCTTAAAAAAAGAGTGGGTTCGACCCCCACTAAGCCCTCTGAGAGTAGATCCAAAACTTGCCACCCATATAAGCCGGTGATGGGCGAAATGCAGATTAGCACAATGCACCACCTATCTCAAAGAACAAGATGGGCGTGCCGTGCCTGGTCAACCCAGTTACTTCCCTGGCGACCAGTGGTCCTACCACTCCCTGGGGTGCCAACTCCCCAGATCTCCTACCTCAATGCGGAAGCTGCCAGGTCAGCATTTCCTGAAGCCTTCAGTTGGGCTGCTGCCTGTGACAAAAGAAAATGGGAAGCGCGAGGGAGGGGAGAAAGGGGATCAGAAGCAGAGGAGAGGCGTGCGGCGGGCAAAGGTGTTGCTTTCTTGTGGTGGTTGTGGCATACTGGAAATTTTGCAGCCCATGACATGCCATTTCTTCCCAGGGGTTGCCATTTTTCCTTTCTCTTCCCTTCTCCTTTCTCTTCCCTTCTCCTTTCTCTTCTTTTTGTCCTCATACACAGATTCCTCTCAAACAAGCTAACCACGGGATACCACAAGCCCCACAAGTCTTCCACGACTCACCACAGGCAGCGCATGCAGGTCTATCAACCGTGCCATCACTTGCTCCAGCTAGAATCAGCCGGGCTGCGGTCCGTGTGCCTCGTAAACAGCAACTCAAATCAACCGCCGCCGACTCACGCCAAGCAGCGCATGCGGGTCTATCAGCGTCCCATTCTCTTACTGCGATGTCAAAAGATGTGCCTTTTGAGGTGACTTTTGAGTCGACTCAAAAGTCAAAAGATGTGCCTTTTGAGTTGCCTCGATAGTCACCGCAGTCACTGTTAGCCAACCACTCACGACCAGAAGCGCATGCGGGTCTGTCAGCGTCGCAATCTCTTGCTCCGACATCAAACGCCCCACACCGCCTGCACCTGCTTGAATGGCATCATCACCATCGGATCCCGGGTCGGCAGCAGCCACACCCCTGGTAGCACTACCACCAGAAGCAGCAGCAGCAGCAGCCACAGTGCGAGCATGCTGCTGCTGCATGTCCTGCAGCTGTGCTATAGTGGGCAGGCCGAGCGCTTGGCGGATGGTGGGAGAGCGGAGAGCAAAGGCCTGGGGAGAGGGGAGGGGGGAAAAGCGCGGGATGGGGGGGGAGGAAGAAGGGCAAAGAGAGGAGGAGTGAGAAGGTGGTGGGAGGAATCAACGGCCACAGTCCGAGAATGCTGTTGCTGCATGGCGTGCAGCTGTGCTGTAGTGGGCAGGCCAGGGGCTTGGCAGGCCAGGGGCTTGGCAGATCATGGGAGAGCGGAGCGCAACTGCCTGGAAAGCCAGGGGAGCTTTTTGAGAATTCCAAAAAATCACCTACAACAGAAAAGAGAGGGGGAGGGGGAGAGATGGAGGTGGGGAGAAAGGGCGGGCAGGCAGCCACAACCCGAGCATGCTGCCACTTCTGCAACGGCTGCTGCTGACGGATGGTGGGGGGGCGATGTGCAATGGCCTGGGAGAGAAGCGAGAGGGGAGAAAAGAGTGCAGGGTGATTTGGAGAGGTGCACTGCGGTTCTATGGCTTGCTGCTACGTGGCTTGTAGCTGTGCGATGGTGTGCAGGCCTAGAGCTCCGTGCATGGTGGGGGTCCAGAGTGTGGGGGGCCGGAGTGTGGGGAACTGGAGTGTGGGGGACCGGTGTGTGGGGGACTGGAGTGCGGAGGACTGAAAAAAGGAGAGGCGCACCTGAGCGAGAGTGAAGGTGTTGTTGGTGAGCCAGTACACGTGCACTGCCTGGTGGGGGATGGGTGGGTGACGTGCGGTGCGGTGCAGATGGGTGGGGGAGGGGTGAGGAGGGTTGAAAGACATGAATGCATCTACACCTTGTGTTGTTAACTGAAAATGCTGTTGGGTGAGCCAATATACACGTGTACTGCCTGCTGGGGGGAAGGGAGAGTGAAGAGGGTTGAAGAGGGGTGCAGAGGTGTCAAGTGGGCTGGGAGAAAAATAGAGGCGTTTGAAGTAACCTTGGCACATTTGACAGCCAGGCGGGTGGATTGTGGAGGCCGAAACCAAGACAGAAGTAATCTCCTGGAGAGTCCTCACACTCCACAGTCGCCTAGGACCTAGGTTGTGTTGAGATGCATCCCAAACCCTACCCTCCGCTCATCCATTGAGCTGGGCGCACTGCAGCCAGGAAGACACTTTTACTGGTGTATCTAAAAGTGAAGGCATGACTGTGCTTCCAATTTTTTGCAGGGTGTGGGGCTCAGAAGCCACGACTGTGCTGACTTCTGAGTGTTTTTTAGAATTCTAAAAAACACCCTGCGGCTCAGAAGCCACGACTGTGCTTCCTTTTTTTGCAGGGTGTTTTCGAGAATTCTAAAAAACACCCTACCTACAGCTGACTTTTGAGTCGACTCAAAAGGGTGTTTTTGAGAACTCTCAAAAACGCCTAGCAACAGCTCGCCCAGCTCAAAAACTAAAGGCTCCACAGTCGTCTGAATCGTATTGAGAGGCATTTCAAACTGCCGCTCATTCCTGTCCCTGAGAGTTAAAACAGCACTTGATTGAAAGGCCCTGCTATTACCACCTAAGGTTGCTTCTGACGATGCATGTGACCGACCTACTATTAGCTGTTCTTTCAATATGCCTGATACGGCCACATGCTTTTGTCACCTGCTTCTATAGTCACGAGCTTTAGTCACCTGCTGTAGTCGCCTGCTGCTATAGACTATATTCACCTGCTGCTATAGTCACCTGCTATGCTGCAGCCTGTAGTCACCTGGGGAACGTTGAGCGCAGCAAATGCAATTGGGAGAGTGAGAAATTCGAGGAGGGTTCGGTAGGCCTGGTGAGGGCACGGGAGGTGGGGGGGTGAGAGTGAGGGGGAGAGTGTGAGGTAGGGAGAGTGAGGGGGAGAGAGTGAGGGGGGGAGACTGGGGGGAGTGACGGCGGGGAGATGGTGGAAGGAGATGGGAGAGGTAAGTGGGAGTGGAAGGAGATGGGAGAGGTGAGTGGGAGTGGAAGGAGATGGGAGAGGTGAGTGGGAGTGGAAGGAGGAAATCAGCACAGCAGCACACACACAGCAACACACACACAGCAGCACACACACAGCAGCACACACACAGCAGCACACGCACAGCAGCGCACGCACAGCAGCACACACACAGCAGCACACACACAGCAGCACACACACAGCAGCACACACACAGCAGCACACACACAGCAGCACACGCACAGCAGCACACACACAGCACCACACACACAGCAGCACACACACAGCAGCACACACACAGCAGCACACACACAGCAGCACACGCACAGCAGCACACACACAGCAGCACACACACAGCAGGACAGCAGTTTACATCATCATTCACCACAGCAGAGCACCCACCAACACCCACGAGCACCCACCCACTCCCACCCATGAGAACATACTGCGTTCCAAGCCACACAGCACTGACTAGCATCGGACTGACCACCAGTTTCTGTAGCCACACCTATCTTGTGCACAAGAAAGCATCGGCACCCACCAGCACCCACCAGCACCCATCAGAACTCAACCAAAACCAACCGGTGAGTTTCTAATCCTTCGTGAGGCACCATATCTGGCAACACTCACACAGCGCTCACCAGCATGGCCTTCTCTGACGCTGTGTTGACGCCCATCTTGTGCAGTGGCATCATCACCTATACTAAGCGCCCTTGCACGCAGAATAGGGAGAGAGGTTTGGGGGGAAGTGGGGGGGGGAAGGGAGGTAATGCAGGGCGAAAATGAAGGCAACTGCTGTGATCACTACACCCATGTTGATGTTATGCAGCGGCACCATCACCTACACGCCTATACATCACTTACGCACTTTTGAGATAGAGACGACTTTTGAGTCGACTGAAAAGTCATCTACGCGCGCTTGCACAGAGATAGAGAGGTTTGGGGGTGGGTGGGAGGGGTGGTTTAATGGTGGGAGGGGTGGTTTAATGGTGGGAGGGGTGGTTTAACGGTGGGAGGGGTGGTTTAATGGTGGGAGGGGGAGAGGGGGGAGGGGGGGACGGGGGAGGTGAAAGAGACGGGATAGAGTGCGGATATAGATGCCAAGTGCTGCGCTCACTACCACCATCTCGTGCTGTGGCATCATCAACTACTCGCCCTTGCAGAGAGAATAGGGGAAGATAGACCAGGTCACAACGAGAATCGGGAAGAGAACATGGGGCAATGGGTAGAACGAGAAGGGACGAAGGGAGGAGAAAGGACGAAGGGGATAGACAGATCGAAGGGGAGAGAAGATTAAAGACGAAGAGGAAAATGTCAGGAAGTTGAGGGAGAGGTGGAGGGAGGGAGGGGGATAGAGAGGTGGAGGGAGGGAGGGAGATAGAGAGGTGGAGGGAGGGAGGGGGATAGAGAGGTGGAGGGAGGGAGGGGGATGGAGAGGTGGAGGGACAGAAGTGGAAGGAGGGGGCACCTGCAGGGAGGTGAGGAAGGTCCCGGCAATGGAGAGAGGAAGGACCCACCCCAGCACGCCCTGAGGGAACGCTGTTAGGTCCTCCAACCACAGGCACCCGCCCTGGAGAGGACGGGTAGAGGGAGGGGGGTTGCAGATAGGGTAGAGGGCAGTGCGGAGTGTGGAGAGCTAAGAGACAGTCGTGAGCGCTCCGCCTCGTCGCTGTCATCACCACTGCCCGCACTCTATCCCAGCACGCCCTGGGGGTACGCTGTTGGATCCTCAAGCTACAGGCACCCGCCCTCAAAAGGAGGGGTAGAGGAGTGCGAGAGCAGAGAGACAGTCATGCTCACTCATCACTCCCTCTCATCGCACTCATCACGCCCTCTCGTCGCACTCATCACTCCCCATCAACACCCCTGAGGGTATGATGATTTTTCAGTACAGTCACCCGCCCTGGAGGACAATAGAGGGGGGCGGGGAAGCGGGATGAAATACGTTGCCAAGCTGGGGCGTTGCCCAGCTGGGGCTGGGGCTGGGGCTGGGGCTGGGGCTCGCACATCCCACGTTTGAGTTTCGTATGTATACGCTGGGGATGCTATCTGACTATCTGAGGCTATCTGTATATGCTGACTCGATATAACACATATCTTTACTGTGCAATACACCAGAGAATGACGGCAACAGAGCGTGAAACGGGAAATCACAAGAGATCGTTTGTGTGCAAAGGGCCTGTTGTGTGCATGAGATGGAGCACCATCCTAAAGACTGGATGAGGCACCATCGCACAGCGATGCAAATGAGGGCAAGGGCAAGGAGGGCAAGGGCAAGGAGGGCAAGGGCAAGGATAGCAAGAGAACCATTGTAAGCATGCGAGACTGAAAAGCACAGCGATGCAAATGCAAAGACTGGACGGAATGCCCATCAGAGAGCTGAGTGCCTCGGAGCCATTACTGACCATGTCGTATTCACTAACGAACGAAAGACCACATCACAGCACAGCACCCACCGCATCAAATCCTGGATGTGCCGACAATGCCATGTGGCGCATTGTGAAGATCCAGGTGAAGAAGATGGGGATCTGGTGGGAGATGGATGGAGGGGAGGGAGCGTTGACAGGAGGGCAAGGGCAATGCGGGCAAGGGCAAGGATAGCAAGAGAGGGGAGGGAGCAGACAAAGAAATGCGTTCATTGTGAAGATCCAGGTGCAGCAGACGGGGATCTGGTGCGAGATGGATGGAGGGGGAGTGGACAGAGGCAAGGATAGCGAGAGAGGGGAGGGAGCAATGCCGTGTGGTGCAGTGTGAATATCCAGGTGATGAAAACGAGAGGAAAATGATGGGAATAGATAGAGGGGTGGGAACATTGACAGAGGGGCAGAGGCAAAGATAGCTAGAGAGGGGAGGGAGCAAAGTCGTGTGGCGCATTGTCCACTCACGCACCCCGTCAAACCAATTCTTGAATCTCCCACACACTTCCTTTCACCCGCACCTGCACAGCAGGTGCTTCCAGCAACCATAGTGCAAAGGGCGCGTTTAACTGCCTCCCCCTCCTCCTCCCTTGCCTTAAAGAAGCCCATGCCTGAGGTACCATGCCACGCATACTACAACCCCCCCTCACACCACCCCTTACGCCACGCATACTACACCCCCCCCCCCCCCCCCCCCCCCCCCCCCCCCCCCCCCCCCCCCCCCCCCCCCCCCCCCCCCCCCCCCCCCCCACGCCACGCATACTACAACCCCCCCTCACACCACCCCTTACGCCACGCATACTACAACCCCCCCTCACACCACCCCTTACGCCACGCATACTACAACCCCCCCTCACACCACCCCTTACGCCACGCATACTACAACCCCCCCTCACACCACCCCTTACGCCACGCATACTACAACCCCCCCTCACACCACCCCTTACGCCACGCATACTACAACCCCCCCTCACACCACCCCTTATGCCACGCATACTACAACCCCCCCTCACACCACCCCTTACGCCACGCATACTACAACCCCCCCTCACACCACCCCCCCCCCCCCCCCCCCCCCCCCCCCCCCCCCCCCCCCCCCCCCCCCCCCCCCCCCCCCCCCCCCCCCCCCCCCCCCCCCCCCCCCCCCCCCCCCCCCCCCCACCACCCCTTAGCCACGCATACTACAACCCCCCCTCACACCACCCCTTATGCCACGCATACTACAACCCCCCCTCACACCACCCCTTATGCCACGCATACTACAACCCCCCCTCACACCACCCCTTATGCCACGCATACTACAACCCCCCTCACACCACCCCTTACGCCACGCATACTACAACCCCCCCTCACACCACCCCTTATGCCACGCATACTACAACCCCCCCTCACACCACCCCTTATGCCACGCATACTACAACCCCCCCTCACACCCCCCCCCCCACCCCCCCCCCCCCCCTTATGCCACGCATACTACAACCCCCCCTCACACCACCCCTTATGCCACGCATACTACAACCCCCCCTCACACCACCCCTTATGCCACGCATACTACAACCCCCCCTCACACCACCCCTTATGCCACGCATACTACAACCCCCCCTCACACCACCCCTTATGCCACGCATACTACAACCCCCCCTCACACCACCCCTTATGCCATGCACCTCACACTCACCTCCTCCCCCATACCTGCACAGCAGGTGCAGCCAGCAACCATAGCGCAGAGGGCGCGTGTAACTGCCTCCTCCTCCTTTGTCGTAAGGCCCATGCCTGCGACCATGTCATGCCGCTGCCAGGTAGCGGGAAGGGAGGGGGCACTGGGAAGGGCAGTGGGGGGAGTGGGGACAACAGGGGAGAGGGGGGAGGTGGGGTGAGGAGGATAGTAGGGAGACTGTGTGAGTTAAGGGGGCGTAGATGGAATACAGGTGGGCTGCGGAGGCCTCATTTGCATTGAGTAATCCATCTACGACTCCAGCTAGGGAAGACAGTAGGGGCCTCATTTGGACAGTAGGAAGACTGTGTGAGTGCGGGGGCCATGTCATGCCACTGCCAGCTACGGAAGGACGAGCGGGCACTGGGGGAGTCTATTTTTGAGGCGCCTCAAAACTAGAAGGACGAGCGGGCACTGGGGGACAGGACAGAAAGAGGGTAGAAACGAAGAACGAGGGGGAGTTGCCACGTGGACATGGCAGTGGCAATAACACTGCACGGCAGGGTGAGGGTGGGGCTTTGAGGGGCTCAGAATTCATCTCAAGGCAGGTGAGAGAGAGGAGGCTGGGGAGTGGGTGGATAGAAACGAACAAGGGAGAAGGGTTCAATCCATTACAAGAAACATTGCAGGTTGAAAGCCCGTGGGAGGGGAGGCGGGTACAGAGCGTATATCTAAGCTCTAGAAGTGAAAGAAACAACGACTTGCCATACATTTGGGCCCCAAAGCAGCGAGCTGAGAGCTGATCTTCATTTGATGCCAGGTGAGGGGGAAGAGGGAGAGGCGGAGAGCTAGAGTGGAGCCAACAAGAGTGAGCCACCTGGCATATGATCGAGGGTGGTGTGGCGGGCACATGAACGAGCTGAAGACGAGTGGAAGCGAATATTTGGGATCTTAAAAAGAATGTGAAAATAAATAAATAAATGTACCCTTGTGTAATTTTGAACACTCATAGCCTGACAACCTCACCAGGGCGCTCCTGTGCTGGCTTGTATCGAAGTCAATGCTTGAGTCACAGCATCTACAGGAACACCCAGCCATGCCCAACTACCCAACCACCCAGCTCCTGCTCCTGCTCCTGCTGCTGCTGCTGCTGCTCCTCCATCCCCTCCTCCTCCTGCTCCTGCTGCTTCTCCTGCTGCTGCCGCCGCATCTTGCAGAGCACCGGACTCCCCCTCCTGGGGCTCTCCCCACTCCACCCATGTTCGAGACGTCTCAAAAGCTGCCGAGTCCACAAGAGCACCTGAATTCCCCTCCTGGGGTTCTGTTTGGTGGTCCCAGCTGCTCAGGCTGCTAACCCCGCCCTCGCCAGGCACTTCTGCTCCGCTGTAAGCAGACTCGCTATGGGATGTTCTGTTATCAGACGCCTCGATTTGTAATGGCAACAGTGTGTCGCTCGCGAATCCTCGAGCGTTGGGAAAGCAGCTGTATGCGTTTTGATTGGCCGTACTTAACCGGGATTGTGATTGGTTGAGACGGGGTTGACTGAACAGTGATTGGTTCACAGCGAATCCAATGAACGGCTGTGATGACCTGATGGCTGACTGGCTTCGCAAGGATCGATCAATGGCATTTCGACAGGTCACTGAAAGGCCCGCTGATGATTGGCTGGAAGCCGGGATGGGAGAATCGACCAATGGGGCTGCTACTGACGTGTCAAGTGGCCGGTTGAGTGCAGGAACGGAGGAAGGCCAATGGGACGCAGACACGTGGAGGGACGCGTGGGGCCAGGGAAAGAGTAAAGGAGTAGAATGGTAGGACGCGGGAGAGGGGGGTTGAGAAGGGGGGTGTCCAGAGGAGGGTTGAGCAGAGGGGTGTTGAGGGGAGGTGAGTTGAGAGGTACTTTGGGAGACAGGGGAGAGCGAGGAGAGGGCGGAAGGAAGGCGGCAGTGGGGAGAGGACTTGCGGCGAAGGGCGGAGACACGGCGCAGGAGAAGCGGTGGTGGCATTGGAACTGAGGCGAATCGGTTGAGGTTTGAATTTGTGCGGATTTGATCGGTTCTGTGCGGTCCGAAGAATGGATCTCGCACACACACCGCCACTGGTGCAACCGAGCGGCAGCTGTCGGTCAGGTATTGGCCGTCGTCGTTAGACTGGCAGGAGCAGGAAAAAAGCAGACAACGACGGCGATCTATCCGTACCAGAACCAGGGCGGCTCCGAGCCTTTCTGTGCCTGCTTTGCGTGGATACCTTAGCGGTGGTGGGTAAGGATCTGCTTACTGGCAGTGGAGCCTGCTAAAACTGCAGACGAAGTTATGCGACGTTTTCGCTTCTATGTTACCCTGTCACGAGATTCTGAAAAACCACGCCGGTCAGAAATTCTATGGACTGAGTGGTAACGATATTCCTTCGTTCAGATCCATCGCGAATCAGGGAGGGTCCCAGCGCATAAAGCATGGACCTCGGGATAGAGGGCCTTTTTAGGACAAGAGATCGACTGTACTGACACGAGACTGAACAACATTCTCGCATCCGAGACCAAGTGACAACTTTTACTGCTCACTGTAGGGTGTCAATGCTGTCATTTTCGTAACAAAATAATGTAAATCTGACATGAAACTCCTATTTCGCACAATTGTCGAACATTATTCGAATTAAAAACGCATTGACATTTCAGACGATTAGTAGCCACGCTCTACGGTGCCTCGCATCCAGCCGAGAGACAAACATCTTCGTGCGTCTGTTTATGCGTATACTCGGTGATATCGGAGTGCACCATTCGTCTCAAGTCGTTGTCGCGAAACCACCGAATAAACGAGGATGTTCCAGAACGCCGCGCATTGCCCCCCAATGGCTTCTAGAACCCCAACCCCGGAGACGCGAGAAGTCTAGAATTTCTGGAACCGAGAACCTTCTCTTGAGGCTTGTAGATCAATATCACCAGAGTTCTGACGAGAGGAGGCCTATACAGTCCGTGCCATCACCTAATCTGGGTCTTTTGTAGATTATTACTCACTGCCAAATACAACGGTAATCTCGGCGATAAGCTTTCATAGTAAACCTCAGACTCGTTTTCTCCTCGTGCTCCTACACCCAATCTATCATTTAGCTCCGTCCGTAGCGACAGCAATGGCCACGTCAGCTCCAGCGATTCCAGACATCGGCCAGGCCGTGGAGGATCTCACCGTGCGAGACGCCGCGGAGATTAACGGCATCGCCGGTACCGCCGATTCCTCCTCCGCCGCCGCCACCGCCACCGCTTCCGCTTCCGCTGCGGCGGGGGCTCCCGCAGTGGATGAGATCGAGAGCCTGTGCATGCGGTGCCACGAGCAGGGCACGACGCGGCTCCTCCTGACACGTGTCCCGCATTTTCGGGAGCTCGTGATCATGGCGTTCGAGTGCCCGCATTGTAACGAGTCCAACAACGAGGTGCAGTTCGCCGGGTCGTTACAACCCGCCGGCGTACGGTTCTCGCTTTCCGTACCAGTCTCGGCGGAAGGAGCAGCAGATGGAACGACGGAGCCGTCGTCCGACGTGGAGCGCCACGTGGATTCCCACGTGGCGCTGATGAACCGCCAAGTGGTGAAATCCGATTCGGCGACGATCCGCATTCCGGAGATCGACTTCGAGATCCCGCCAGAGTCACAACGCGGTACACTCACAACGGTCGAGGGTGTCTTATCCCGCGCGCACGACGGGCTCGGCGCGCTGCAGCAGGAGCGGCGGGCCGCGGACGCCGCCGTCGCCGCCGCGATCGACGAATTCCTCGCGAAATTGAAATCCTGCATCGACGGCTCGCGTGCGTTCACGCTCGTGCTGGACGATCCGTCGGGTAACAGTTACATCGAGAACCCGCGCGCTCCGGAGGCCGATCCGCTCTTGAAGGTGGATCCTTACGAGAGAACAGCCGAGCAGAACGAAAAGCTAGGGTTTCTTCCGGCCCCCGGGGGCGAGGGGGAAGGCGGGGAAGCGGGGAGACCGGCGGAAGGCGCTGCGACGAAGCTTCCGCATGGGTCCGTGGGTGCGGAGCTGGCGTATCGCGCGATTGCCGGCGGGGATCACGCGGACCTGGCGAGCAACGCGCTGCTGTGCGGGTACTCCGCGCCGGAGGAGGTGATGGTGTTCCCCGCCACGTGCAGCGCGTGCGGCGCAGGTGGGGAGGGGGGGAAGGCGGAAGGTGAAAAGGCGGAAGGGGAAAAGGGGGAAGGGGAAAAGGCGGAAGGTGAAAAGGCGGAAGGGGAAACGGGGGAAGGGGACGGGGGAGCATCGGATGTGGACGAGGTGTGCGTGACTCGAATGTTCGCGACGCGGATCCCGTATTTCAAGGACGTCATCTTAATGTCTACCTCGTGCGACGCGTGCGGGTATAAGAACTCCGAGTTAAAGGCGGCTGGAGGTGTGGCGCCTAAGGGGCGGAAAATCACCCTGACAGTCCGGAACCAGAAGGATTTATCCCGGGACGTAATTAAAGCCGAGTCGGCCGCGGTTTATATTCCCGAGATAGAGCTGGAGCTAGGCACTGGGACTCTAGGCGGCCGGGTGACTACAGTGGAGGGGCTTGTAACGGAGATCGCGGACAGCTTAAAACGGATCCGGCCGTTTGAGATCGGGGACAGCGCGCCGGTGTGGCAGAGGGGCAAGTGGCAGGCGCTGGACAAGCAGCTGCGGGCGCTGGCTGCTGGCGAGCCCGTGAGTGTGAAGCAGAGGGAACAGACAGACGGTGCGGACGTTGCGGATGGTGCGAGTAAGAGTGGAGTAGAGGGAAGCGCTGGAGCAGAGAATGCTGGGGCTGGGGCTGGGGCTGGTGCTGGGGTTGGGGCTGGGCCTGAGAATGGGTCAGCAGGAGCAGAAGGGAACCTGGCGGAAGAGGCCCCTTTGACTGAGTGGCATCTGGTGTTGGACGATCCGCTGGCGAACTCGTTTGTTTCGTTCGTGGGCGAGCGGCTGGAGGATGATAAGCAGGTGGAGGTGGAGGAGTATGTGCGGTCGTGGGAGCAGGACGAGGAGCTGGGGCTGCACGACATGCAGACAGGAGAGCAGAAGAATGAGGGGAAGCCTGAGTTGGAGTCAATCCAGGAGTGATGCGTCTGCTGTACGCAGATAGAGGGGGGGGGCGGGAAGGAGAAAGGAAGTGGAGTCGTGAGAGCAGGATGAGGAGCTGGGGCTGTACGACATTGAGACAGGGGAGCAGCAGGGGCAGGGGAAAGAACAAGTTTGATTTAGATTCAATCCAAGAGTGACTGGATTGACTGGTAGGCTGGAAGGTGGCATGGCAACCAGGCGGAACGGAAGTGGAGTGTGGTATATGCGGTTGGGGGAGGAGGAGCTCGGCTTGCATGACATGCAGACAGGACAACGGGGAATGATGGAAAAGTCTGGTATGGGATTGATCTTGATGGCCACATGGTTTTGCTAGTTCCAGGTTGTGAGCGAGTGCTGGTATGATATTTGTGAGCTTACAAGTTACATTTACTGAGTTGGTGAGGATCTTAAGAGCCTGGTGTATTATGCAGAGCTGGTTGGTTCATATGTTCAGAATACTGAAACTTGGAAGGGTCTAGATATGAAATGTATCTTGATTATTTTGTTACATGTGTTCGTAATATCGCGGTGGAATAATAGCGAAGTTACTCTCGCTCGACATTTCGCCTAGCCGGTAGGTTGCCTGGCTTCCCCAACGACCTGAAGGGTTGGGGAATTTTGACTTCAACTCGGTTTTCGTTTCTCGATGGCTGTTTCACGCACACAAGCTGTATGGGTTGGGGAGATCTACAGGTCATACCCCATCGAAATGTTGACGAGTGTTTACCATGCTGACGGGGGGACTGACAACTGACCAGGGATAAGGTACCTACCGACCGTCCGAGCGGCTATACAGGCATTGCGTATCATGGTTGAAAACGCCGGCCCGCAGCCTTGTCATTCAATTGCCACGGAGCTATCTTCCGCCTTCATTTCGCCTCGTCTGCGCCGGCACGCGACCTCGTAGCATAGAGACGTAGCCTTGCAGCACTCACTCCTGGAACCCTCCGTAGCATTTCTTTGGTTGATCAATCCCTGCGGTACCAGATGCTCACTTCAACCAGATACTAATCGAAACTAGATGCTGATCGGCACCGCCTGATGGACTCTCGAGGACTCAGTGGGCGGCGCGGCGTGGGTGGGTCGCCGCATGCCGCCAACGCGTCGCCTGCGCGATCCGCCTCGCCAGCCCGAAGCAGCGTTAGCAGCGCGATTCCCGGAGCTAGCCTAGTCACGTCGTCCACGTCAGCGTCCGGCGATCCGCGGAGAGGCGGAGGTGGCGGAAGCGGGGGCTCATCCCCCGTGCTCCGCCACGCCGCGCGCGGGCCCTCGTTCAAGTCACCGCAGCAGCGCCGCGATTCGCGCCGCAATCCGCTCCTGCAAATCGGCATCCAATGTCTGACCACGTCCGCCGCAATTCTCCTCTTCGCGTTACTGTTCACGGCCGACGCGATCATATCTACGATCCTATCTTCCCCCAGTTCTTCCTCCCCTGGCTCTTCCGCCCTATCAGTGGTCTCGGATCCCTTCGGCTCTGTCCACGTGGCAGCCGGCGACGGGTCAGGCTCGAGGCGCCGAGCCGCAGAGTATGAAAACGAGGCCTATCAGAACCTCGCAGGCTCTGGCGGCGGAAATAGCGGGCACGGGGAAAGCGGCTCTAGCGCAGGGGGAAGAGGAACCGCGGGGAAGCAGGTTGGTAGCGCAGGCGGATGGGCTGCTGGCGGAATCGGCGGAAACGGCGCGGCGGGGACGACAGGCGCAGGCGGACTATCCGCGGGGGCGGATGCGGGGGGAGGCGCGGCTGTGAGGTGGCGCGCGGAGAGGCTGCGCGTGCAGTGGTCGGGTCCGCTTATGGGGGAGGAGGTCCAGCAGAGAGTGGCTGCTGCGACTGCGGTGGTGGCGGATGAGAGAAAGAGGCTGAATGCGCAGCCGTTTCAGCTGCACATGATGGTGAGTAGAAGGCCGTTTGAGCTGCACATCATCGTTAGTGAATGAGGGGCATAAGAGAGAGGTTGCAGCCGTTTCAGCTGCCCATCATGGTGACTTGAAGGGCGTTTCAGCTGCCCGTTATGGTGAGTACAAGGGCGTTTCAGCTGCCCATTATGGTGAGATGAGGGGCGTTCCAACCAACTGCACCTGATGTGAGTGCGTGGGAGTGAGTTGCTGGCGTGCCACGTGTACGGTCTCCACGTGTACGGTCTCCACGTGTACGGTCTCCTCTCCACGTGTACGGTCTCCATTCTGTTTCTTGTCCAGCTGAAAACCCTTTGCCCTGTACCACTCATTCCCTGTCTGGTACAGGTGCGGGCAGGGTGTGACAATAAGGGGCTGAAGGCGCTGCTGCAGTCACTCCAGGATGTGAAGTATGGCGAGGAGGACGAGGTGCAGCCTGCAGGTGCTATTTTCCTAGGAGCTCCGAGTTTTCATCCCATACTCCTCCCATCCCTCTCCCCTCTCCCCTCCCCTCTCCTCCTCCCTCCCTCCTTCCGACCCCCTCTCCTTCACCCCGCGTGTCAACAGGTGCGGGCAGGGTGTGACAGTAAGGGGCTGAAGGCGCTGCTGCAGTCGCTGCAGGATGTGAAGTATGGCGAGGACGAGGTGCAGATGACTGTGGCTACGACCTGCAGTGGTGCCGCAAGGACTGCACAGGTGAGGGAGAGTGGGAAGATGAACATGCAGGGAAGTTGAATATGCGGGGAAGAGGTAGATGTGGAGAAGAGGTAGATGCGGAGAAGAGGTAGATGCGGAGAAGAGGTAGATGCGGAGAAGAGGTCGATGCGGAGAAGAGGTAGATGCGGAGAAGAGGTAGATGCGGAGAAGAGGTAGATGCGGAGAAGAGGTAGATGCGGAGAAGAGGTCGATGCGGAGAAGAGGTAGATGTGGAGAAGAGGTAGATGCGGAGAAGAGGTAGATGCGGAGAAGAGGAAGATGCGGAGAAGAGGTAGATGCGGAGAAGAGGTAGATGTGGAGAAGAGGTAGATGCGGAGAAGAAGAGGTGGGACAGGAAAAGGCCATGTGAGGCAAGGGGAGGACGAGGTGAAAGTGACAGTGGCTACTACCTGCAGTGGTGCTGCAAGGAGTGCACGGGTGAGGGGGAGGAGGAAGATAATATGAGAGAAGGCGGAGGGGCAGGAGTAGGCACTGTGAAGTATGGGAAGGACGGGGTGCAGGGGACTGTGGCTACGACTTGCAGTGCTGCTGCTAGGAGCACACGGGTGAATGAAGAGTGGAGGAGATGATGGGAAGTTGGGTGGGAGGGGTGTGATTGGGAGAGAAGAGAGGCAACGGAAGGCCATGTGAAATGTGAGAAAGAGGAGGTGCAGGAGACAGTGCCTGCGACTCGCTTTTGAGTCGAGTCAAAAGAAGACGGTGCCTGCGACTCGCTGTGCTGTGCTGCTAGGAGCGCAAAAGGTGCGCACTCCTCTCATGCCACTTCCCTTGTTCCTCACCCCGACCTCCCTGCTCCGTTCTCTCCTCAACCCAATGCCATAATCAGGAGTCTAGTTTTGAGGCGCCTCAAAACTAGACTCCTCAAAACTTCTCTCCTCAACCCAATGCCATAATCAGGAGCTCCCCTGGTTCCACGGGCCAAAGCAAACAATCGAGCTGTCAGGCAACAACGAGAAGCCCCCCCAACTCCCCCCCCCCACTCTGCCTCCCTTGTCCCTCACCCCTACCTGCTTCCTGCCTCCTGCACCCCCTCAGGAGCTCCCCTGGTTCCACGGGCCAAAGCGCATCATCGAGCTGTCGGGCAACAGCGAGAAGCCCACGGACCCGCTGCCCCTGTGGCTGCCCGCCTCCCCCCGCGAGTTCCTGCTCCTGCTCGATCCCTCCTCCCGCGTCTCCCCCGGCCTCTACCCCGTGCTCAAAGCCCTCGCTCTCGCGCCCGCTGCTGCTGGCAACCCTGCCGCTTTCACTGTGGAGGCTGCTGTTGGGGGGTATGGTGGGGGTTATGGAGGGGAGGAGGGCGGGGGGAATGGAGCAGGGGAGAAGGGAGGAGGGGAAAGGAGCAGCGGTGGTGATAGTAACGGTGGGGATACTGCTGGTGAGGAGAGCATGGGTGCGCATGTGTCAGGGCTGTTTGGAATAGGTCTGGACCCGGACTCGCCGTTCTTGGCTGAAGACTCCCCCATTATGACGGGCTTTAAGAGGCCCGAGGAAGCCTTACTAGGGGGAGCAGGAGCTGCAGCAGGAGCAGCGGGAGGGGCGGGAGGAGCGGGAGGGGATGTGGGGGTGGGGGTGCTGTCACTGGCAATGGCAAGGACGTGCCAGGTGGTGTTCCCACAGCCGTGGCGGGAGTTCTGGACGTGGCACTCCCTGTCGCAGGCGCGGCAGGTGAACAGTGCGCATGTGAAGTTCGACTGGGATGCATACGACTTCAGCGCCCCCTGCAGAGAAGGTGAGGTGGTTGCAGAGAGGGTGAGGTGCGTGCAGAGAAGGTGAGGTGCTTGAAGAGAAGGTGGGACGCTCCTCACAGGGAACGTAGGTACTGCTCGCAGGGAAGGTGAGGAGCAGGGATGGAGGGGGAAAGCGGGAAGTGGGGGTGGGGGTGGGGGTGGGGGTGCTGTCGCTAGCAATGGCTCGGACGTGCCAGGTGTTGATCCTGCAGCTGTAATGGGAGTTCTGGTCGTGGCACTCTCTGTCGCAGGCGCTACAGGTGAACAGCACGCATGTTATGTTCGACTGGAATGCCTACAACTTTAGCGTCCCTTGCAGAGAAGATGGGACACATGGAGGAGAACCGCCACTACAACCTCCTGTTCCCCTACCCCCCTTCTGCCTTTCCCTATGTAAACCATCAGGCTGGAGAGTGAGCTTCCTCACATATATGAAGGAAAACCGCCTCTAAAACCTCGTGCTTCGCTGCCTCCCATCTGCTTTCCTGTTCCCCGCTTCCACTCCACTCACCAGACTGGCGAGTCAGCTTTCTGACCTATGTGGAGGAAAACGACCTCTACAACCTCCTTCTGCGAACACTCGACCCCCATGAGGTTCGCATACACAAAACTGCACAAAATAATCGTATAGAACCATACAGAATGGCACGAAACCATATGCAAGTGATAGGCTGCCGAGATATGATTATTTTTACTTGGAGCGTTCACAGTTGGAGTATACAATAAGAATTTCAATAGATGGTCAAGAAAGAGCTTGCATAATATTGAGGTTTTCGTGGATGTAAGAAGAAGGGTAGAGTTAGGATATACATCATACAAAAGTCCACTCAATTTCCAATGTACTATAGTCTCCTGTCGTCCTAGATGATCAGAGCAGCTGCGCTGATTGTTACTGAAGAGGTGGATGGGTTCTTCGGAGAAGAGTGGAAGTCGAAAGTGTATAAATGATTCTTTGTGTAGAGGTAAACTTTCTTTGTTCTATTCCAACCAACCCAGTCTGGACAATGCGCGAGGCGAGAGTGCACATTGTCCATACTGGGTCGGTTAGACTTGAAGAAATATTGCCTCTACACAAAGAATCTCCTATACACTTGCGATTCACACTTTTCTCCAAAGAACCCCTCTACCGCTTCTGTAACAATCTATGCCGCTGCTCTGATTATCTCAGACGTCAGAAAACTATAGTACAATGGGAGCTGAATGTGCTTCTGTACGATGTATCCTAACTCCACCTCCCTCCATCCCCTAAAACCTCTATATTATCCAAACTCTTTTTTACCCATCTACTGGATTCCTTACTGTATACTTCTACTCGGAAAACTCGGCAGCCTACCAGATGTGCCCAAAACGTTTGGTACCTTCTTATCCAAGGTCGCGCATAACTCCAACTTTCCGGCTTATTAGACATACAGTCTGTATGATGCCTTTGTAGTTACTGAATGTTAGAGGTATGTGGTCGAGTTTTGAAGCATCACAAATGTGCACATGGCCCACATTTTTTACTTCACTTTACCCTGCTTTTGAGCCGACTCAAGATTCACCGCTGCCAACTCCACCCCTCACACCACCACTGGTTCCCAACCAGTGCACCTGCCCTTCCCATTTGCTCCCCATCCTTCCCACCCTTTGTTCTCTGCCCAACCCTTATCATGTCCACACCTTCTCACCTTTCCGCTTCTGCTCAATCGTTCTTTCACATCCCCCCCTTCCCTCTATGCCCTCTGCAGGCCGCCACCAGCCCAACCACGCGGCTCTGCTACTCCATCGACTCCCAGCCCCCCCTCTCCTTCCCCACCGCCATCCCCTCCCTCCTCCCCCTCCCCTCCGCCCTCCGCCTCTCCTCCTCCCTCTCGCTGCACGAGGCCACCTCCTCCCTCTCCCTCGCGCCCCTCCCCCGCGTGGACCACTGCGGGAGGGTGGTGCCCAAGGGCGAGGTGGTGTGGAGTGCGGGCGAGCTCAAGGGCATGCTGCAGCGGATTGCGCGGCACTCCGCAGTGGCTGGCGTCATGGTGTCGCCGGGGTACGATGACATGCTCAACAACTGGGTCTGCTACGTCAAGGTGAGATTTTGTTTCAATGGGAGGTAGAAACTGGGGTCTATGTAGACTGGTCACTGGTGCGATCCGATGGCTTGCTCACCGACTCGGACTGCTACGTCAAGGTCAGTCTGCTATGTTAAGGTGAGTGAGTCTGCTTGTATGGGGTTAGCACCTGCGGATACCATTATATGCTCAACAACTGGGTGGGTGTGCTCTTATGGGGGATGGAAGCTGGGTGTATGTATATCAGCACATACTCTCCTCTCCTCTCCTCTCCTCTCCTCTCCTCTCTGCTTCCATCAGGAGGCAGATTCACAACTTCTTTATAATCACACAGGACCCGGCCGGCACACCCTTTTTAAAACAACACCCACCCTCTCTCTCCTGTGCTATCAACCATTCTCTCCCCTCTCGCTCGTCCCCACCCCACCCCCTCCATTCCCCCTGCAGGAGCTTCCAATCCGCAGCTGCTTTACAGTCCGTTACTTAAAAAAAATAAAAAATCACACAGGACCCGGCACACGCTCTCTCATTGCAATCCGCTCTTTCTGTCGCCCTGCCCCCACCCCCTCCGTTCTTTCTGCAGGAGCTGCAAATCCGCAACTTCTTTATAATCACACAGGACCCCACGCCCCTTGGTTGAAAGCTTTCCCTCCTCTCTTTCCCCCGACCCCTCCACCTCCCTTTTCAGGAGCTACAAATCCGCAACTTCTTTATAATTACACAGGACCCCACACACGCTCTCTCTCTAAAGTGGCGGGGCTTCGCCGTGTATTGCGCCGGGTGCAGTAAGCCCGGGGCAGGGGGGGATGGGGGTGGGGCAGTGGTGAGAGAATCCGGAGCACGAGCAGCCGCCACTGCTGATGGCGGTGCTGCTGCTGCTGCTGCAGAGGCGGCAGGCAACGAGGGGGGAGTCTCCACTACTGCAGCGACAGGCACGGGCGCTGGTGCTGACTCAGCAACAGCAGCAGCAACAGCAGCAGCAGGAGCGGCCACTAGAAACGGATCTGCTGCTGCAGATTCAACCACTGTGGCAGCAGCAGCAGCAGCACAAGCAGCCGCAGCAGCAGCAGTGGGCACCAGAAGAGCAGCGTTAGACTACGGCAGCGTACCCTATAAAGAGTTCATCCTCGCGCGCACTAAAGCAGTTGGCGAGATCCTTAAAGCGGGTTACAACGTGCTTCTAGCCGACGCAGATGCCATCTGGCTAGCAGATCCATTCCACTCGCTTAAAGCCCAGGGAATCGACGTGCTAGCCCAGCTGGAAGAAAAAGGCAATCCCTGCGGGGGGTTCCTTCTCCTTGTCCACACCCGAAAGCTTATCGTGCTATGGGATTTATTAACTGCGATGTTCGAGCAGCACATCGACTGGCTTAAAACGCATCCCTCTATAAGGGATCCAGAGGAATACCGCCGGTTCCTCCGCTCTCAGCAGCACAACCACGAGCAGAAGTTTTTAAACGACTTACTTAGGCAGAAGAGATACGCGGTGCAGCTGCAGGGGCTGGACCCGCTGCTGTTTATCAACGGGCGGGACTACTGGGACCGAAGGAAGGCGCAGAAGCTGGGAATAACGCCGGTGATGATTCACAACAACTACATCATCTCCAAGTGGAACAAGACAAGAAGGTTCCTGATTAAAGGAATGTGGCGCGTCGACCACCGAGGTGAGGGCCCTGTGGGGGTTGGGGGGGAGGGGAAGAGGGGGAGGCAAGGGCTAGGGAAGGTAAGGGATTTGGGGGTGTATTGCCGGTGATGATCCACAACAACTACATCATCTCCAAGTGGAACAAGACAAGAAGGTTCCTGATCAAAGAAATGTGGCGCGTCGACCACCGAGGTGCGACATTGGAGAGGTAATGTGTACGGGAGGTAACAACTGGGGGAGGCAAGTCTACCTGGAACAGCAAGGGGGGGAAGGGTCTAGGTAAGCCCCAATCTAGTGCACAGGGGGTGTAACGCCGGTGATGATCCACAACAACTACATCATCTCCAAGTGGAACAAGACGAGGCGGTCCTCATCAAGGGCATGTGGCACGTCCACCACACCACCGAGGTGCGGGCCCTGGGGAAGGAAGCTTTATCCGAGGGAAAAAGTGAAGGTAAGAGCTAGGGGGGTAACACCAAGGGGGGTCGTAGGCGGTTCCTCATCAAGGGCATGTGGCGCATCGACCACCACACCACCGAGGTGAGGCCCCTGGGGGAAGTGTAGCGCCATGGGAAGGTAATGGCTAGAGGCGTTAATGGCGGTTTCTGATCCGAGGCATGTGGCATGTCGACCAGAGGTGAGGCCCCTGGGGGAAGTAACGCCGTAGGGAGGTACTGGCCAGAGGCGCTAATGGCGGTTTCTGATCAGAGGCATGCGGCACGTCGACCACCGAAGTGAGGCGTGGGGGAGGTAGCAACTAGGGGAGGCAAGGGGCCTGGGGAGGTAGGTACTAGGGCTGGCAACACCTAGGGGAGCTGTAGGAGGTTTCTGATTAAAGCAGCGTGGCAAAGTGGCGAAGGTTTCTGATCAGAGGCATGGTTGACTTGACTGCAATGGCGAAACAACTCGAGGTCGAGCCTCTTCTCTCCCCTCTTCTCTTCCGCTTTCTCTCCCTTTCACTTTCTCACTCTCCCTCTCCCCCCTTCTCGCCCCTCTTCCCCTCCCTCCCAGGCCAAGCGTGCAAGTGCCTGGCTCTCTCCTGCACTCGCCCCAAGGACCCCTGGTTCCTCACCAGCAACCCCACTCTGCCCGCGCCGCTAAGGGCCACTGCTGGGATCAAGTACCCAGCGCTGCCCAAGAGGAGGAAGGGGGGGAACATGCAGAAGGGTCAAGGAGGGACCATCACTGCTGGAAACTCTTCCTCTGCTGCTGCTGCTGCTGCTGCTGCTGCTGGTAATGGTGGTAGCGGTGGTACTGCTGTTGGTACGCATGCTGGTGGTGCTGCTGGTGCTGCTTCTGGTGCTGCTGGGAGGGCGGCAAAGATAGTGGGAAACTTGATACGAAGCGTAGTGGGCAGTGGGAAGAAAGATGGAGAGAAGAAAGGCGGGGATGAGAAAAAAGCGGCAGCCAAGGGAGGGGGATCGAAGCGTGCTAAGGCTGGTGAGGAAACAGTGAAACCAGCTAAAGAGGAGGCACAGCAGCAGGGAACAAAAAGGCAGCAAGGTGTAGGTGCAGGGACAGGAACAGGGATAGGAACAGGGAGAGGGACAGGGGCAGGAAGAGAAGCAAGTAACGCGGCAAGGAGCTCTAAGAGCCGTGATGCTGCAGCTGCTGCTGCTGCTGATGCTGCTGCTGACGCCGCAGCGGCTGCTGCTCTTTCTGCTGCTGCAACGGCAGCACAGGGAAATGAATCACCCAAAGCAAAGGCAAAGGCATCAATTGGGAAGGGTCAAAGGACGGAATCAAGCAGAGGCAAGGAGAGGAGGGCCGCAGCAGGGGAAGCGGGAGCTGCAGCTGCAAACGGGAGAGTAACTGCAGCGATAGGTGGGAAAGGGGTAGCAAAGGGCGCGAAAGGGAAGGGGGATACTGTAAGGGTTAGCCAAGTGGGGAGTGACAATAAGGTGATTCAAAAGGGGAGGCAGAGGCTGCAACATGCAGTGAAGAGAGGAGGGAAGGGGGTGCCACGGGCGAATGTCTAGTACATAGGAAGGTCAGTACGCATGTTTTTTATTAGTCGTAATGTGAAAGCTAAGCTGCGAGGTATGTGTAAAGACTAGAAAGAATGATTAGATGAATGGAGGATGGGGGAGATATAGCCTTTGGGTTGTACCCACTAAGAACATACCCTATCTAGCCTATAACTTCTCTATAACAATTTATGAATAAGTTGACAAAACCCCTAGGCTAGTTAAGGGGTAGTGCTGAGCAAGAAACACGCAGCTCAGGGTGGCACTAGTCCAACCTATGAGGCAAGGGTCCGAAGAACAGTCAGCAAGAGTAGGTACAAGCAAGACAGAGCAAACGAGGGCGGCACTACTAGTCCAACCACAGGAAGAAAAGCCACAAGGCCAGTCTGAAAGGCATAAATAGAAAGGAGTACACAATCAATGGCCTAGCAAGTGAGAGTCAACAGGGACTAGACCTAACTGCAAGCAATGCCGCTGATGATCTCTAGGCGGAAGCGCTTTAGTAAAGATATCAGCTGTGTTGGCACCGGAGGCCAAGTGTACTATGCAGGCCTGGCGACGCTGCTGAAGCTCGCGCAGGAGGAAGTACCACAGCTGGATGTGCGTCGCTCTGCCCTCAAGTCGAGGCTCCTGACACAGGAGGATCATGGCTCTGTTGTCAGCGTACAGAACCTGGGCAGAGCTAGGCCGCTCACCTAAGTCGGCAAGCAAGAAGGTCAGCCAGCGGAGCTCCTGTGCCGCCATGGCACCGCCGTAGGTCTCAGCCTCGCAGCTAGACAGAGCAACATACGAGGAGTGAGTGGACCTCCACGACATGGCACCAGAACCAAGGCTGAAGTACTAGCCCTAGGAGGACCTGAGGGTCTTAGCGTTGTCTGCCCAAGAAGCGTCAGTGTGCCCAGTAAGGACCACTAGCCTGCGTCCTCCCAGCACTAGCCCCATGCCCGATGTACTTGCTAGATAACGCAAAACCCTCGTAGCGGTCGACCCGTGCTGTGGTCGGTGTCTGCCTGTGGCCACAAGCGGGCCAGGATGCTGAGAGGGTATGCGACATCTGGACGAGTGCAAGTCATCAGGTACATGAGGCAACCCACCAGCTCTACGTAAGGACCACTGGGCTCTGCTGACTCCTGGGAAACTGGAGCTGAGAGCCTGTGGTCTACCGGCAAAGGCGTGGGCTGTGCGGAGGAGAACTGAAGACCGAACCTCTGAAGGACCTGGCGCACCAAGTGTGACTGTATGAGAGTGATGGTGCGCGCTACTCTGTCCCTTGAGATCTGCAGACCAAGGTAGCGGCGCAGCTCTCCCAAGTCAGTGCAGGTGTGTCTCTTCAGCAGCTGAGCCTTCACGGAGGCCAGCGCGTCTCTTTCTGCAGTAGCAAAGACCAGGTCGTCTATGTAGACAAGGATGTAGAACGGAGTCTGGCCAGCACGAACGAAGAGCGAAGGGTCAGCAGAGGACGGAAAGAACTGCAGGTCAACTAGCGTAGCACGCAGCGTGTCCTGCCACTCACGGAGCGCCTGTCGTAGGCTGTAGACCGGGCGCCGGATGAGCCACTGCGTATCAGGAGGGAAGGTACAGGTGATGCCCTGAGGACGGCGCAGGTAGACCTGCCCGTGCAGGCTACCCTGAAGAAAAGCAGTGGAGAAGTTGAGGGAGTGGAGCTCGTAATCACGCTGTGCTGCTCCGTGTAGCAGCGCCCGAAGAGTAGTCATCTTCGGGATCGGGGCGAAGGTCTGAAAGAAGTCCATCCCCTCTCGCTGACTGAAGCCTCTAGCCACGTAGTGCGTCTTGAACACAGGCGGCTCTCCGGGGGGGCGCTCCACCTTGAAGAGCCAGCGGCCATCGACTACGTTCACCCCAGGTGGGGGAACTGCGTCGACGTAGGACAGCTTGGTTTGCCTAGCCTAGGCTCTGATACCATATGAAGACTAGAAAAAATTATTAGAAGAATGGAGAACAGGGGAGATATAGCGTTTGGGTTGTACCTGTTGTGATATTATTCATACTTCACATTTCTGTAAGTCGATTATCGATAGATAGTGTCGAATCCTACTGTAGAAGATAAGTCCGTAGGATGACGTCAGCAAATAGCGCTCGTTATGAGGACAGTCGTTTAAGTGACGCGAACAGTTGCGTCTCTTCATTATCATTTATGGCGCATAGCGCGATAGTGACGAACATGTACATTAGCGAACAGGTACTTTCCTAGAGCTAAAACCCTTGTTATGCCTTTCCATTATTAACTTTGATTACCCACAAGTTCATGAGCTCAAGTTGTTCAACCTTGACTTTCACAAGAGTTATATTCATATTCACTTTTACAAGACTTCCGCTGTCTTACTAGTCTACCATTCCAGTAAAGATCCTAGGCTAACACTTGAGGTTTTCCAAGTGTTCGTGTTTGCAGATTCTATAATTAGTCTCCTGCAAGTCTTGCAACACCTGTCAAATTATTACATTGTATGAGAGCTATCTAGAATTAAGACTACGGTCAACAATGACTGGATCATCACCAGCACAATCTAACGGATCTAGTTCCGGAACTACTGGAGTACCTGTCTCCACGACCGCCATGGGTCTTTCAGCCTCTAGACCATTTCCAGCGGCTTATGCGCACATCGGTATGCAGCAGCAGCAGAATCCGCCTTCTGTCAGTACTCCAGGGATTTCATCGATTGCATTTGCATTGTAACAAAAACAAATTCACACAACAGCACAACAATAGGCGATAGCACAACCACAGTTTTCAACTCAGTCAATATCGTCAGCGTTTAATGGGATGAGTCTTGACGGCTCAAGTTATATGCGTGGAGCTTCAGCTCCAAGTTCTGGCTCATTTGCCTTCTCACCTTTTGCGTAGCAGACACAGTCGCAGCAGAAGCAGCCCTTCTACATCTTCGGGCGTTCACCTGCTCAGCAATAACAAGAGCAGCAGCAATAGCAACATCAGCAACAACAGCAACAGCCACAGCAATTTCAGCAACAGCAACAACAGCAACAGCCTCAACAATAGGGCATCATCTTTCAACCACCGAATTTACTTAACAGCACACAGATCAAGACCACCTTACCTTTTAACGGAGTGGATTTTTACTCCTGGAGCTTCGAGTTCGAACTTCTGGCGCAGTTCGCTGGGCTATGGCCGTTCTTCACCAGCGAGTTTACGTATCCTGTTATGGGAACACAACTGGAGCAGCAAAGTTTCTTGCACGCCTCTCTCGGGGCGTATACGGTTCTTGTTCAGAACTTATCGCCAAAGGAGCAGCTTGGCGTTCGATCTTTTCATTCAAGCTTTAAACCAGTTGAAATTGCATGGAACCACTTAAAGGGTTAGCAAGAGATAAATATACAGTGTGTAAGATTCTTTCACAGCTGACAAGTGCGCAAATGATGACAAACGAGAATGTCATGGATTACGTAAATCGCGTCCGTACACTACGAGATCAACTGGAGAAGAGTGGGGGATACTTCCCTCGTGAGATGTATCTCACGGTCCTTCTTGCTGGACTTGGTCCCGAGTGGCGACAGACGCGTGCCTTCCTGCGCATGAATCCGAACCTCTCCGAAGCCGAGATTTCTTCGTATCTTCAAGCAGAGTAGCAAGATCTTGACCTGCAGTCACAACGCAATCAGAAGAAGGGGATACACTTAAGTTTTTACTCAAATCTAGAACCGCAGCAACGACTTCCCTCGAAGTATCCCTTCTGCCATTTCTGCAAAAAACCTGGACATAATTACCAAACTTGTCGCAGTCAACATCAAAACCAACGCAGTACTTTACAGCCATATCATCGTTCGCAGCAGTTATCGAAGTCACATCAGCCAACGCAGCAGTCGACGTCTCAGACGCAGCAGATGCAGAAACCACCGCAGAATCCACCTCCGTCACAGCATCGACCTCCGGTTTTTACATCTGCAACATCAGGGAAAGGGGTTTTCGGATGTGCTACGACGGTTGATATTTCAGAAACCGATTTCGAGACACACATTGAAGAAACCACTAGTACTAAAGGCATTCCCTTACCGCAAGTTTACGCTAACCTTGCTCGAGTCATTTCAGGAACCAATACTTGGTATCTCGTTAGCTGTTGCGGTTGGCACATGTGCTCCGCTGAAACAAGCTTCATCACCAACCAGCGTCCACTTTTTCGTCCGATACCTGTCACAGTCGCAAACTATTATGGCAAGATCTATTGGGAGTGTAATGCTCGAATCCGCCGACATGGGATATTCCCTACACGTTACCAATGTTCTTATTGTCGCCGGCCTTGGTTTCAATCTTCTCTCCACAGCTCAAATCCTGGCACACAAGATTCGCACACAAGGCAACTGTGATACAATGGATCAGGAGTTATGGCACAGCTTAACAAATACTTACATCGGTCGTGCTGCTGCTCAACATGGAGTATCAGTTCTTCAGTTCACGGCATAGGGCACCTCTGGTGATTCTGAACGCGTCCTTGCACTTGGTCCTTGGGATCACCCAGAAGAAACAGATTATCAACACGTGGATATTGATTTTCGGGCAACTACTGTACCGACGGCTTCTCGAACTGCAGCTGCCATTCTTACCGCACTGGATACTTGGGAGTTCAATACAGCAGATGAAAGCACCAACGCTTGGCGCACGTTCTATAACACGCATGAAGCTCTTCAAAGAATTCCATCTCCACTTTGGGGCGAAATCAGTGGACTTGTAGCTGATGAACCCGACGTCGAAGATGTCGCAAAAGTAGCAGTCGCCGAGCAGCTGAGTCCCACAGTAGCTGTCGCAGGACCGCCTGCCACCACATCAACAGAAGCAGTATCAGATGTTGCAATTGCAACTGCAGCAGAACCATCGAATGTCAAGTTACCACTTACCCGTTTCGTTGGAGGGGAGATTGACATGTCTCCAGCTCTTTCTCCTTTCATCATTTCTTCATTTTACACTAACGCCGATTTTTTTCTGTGATCATCAGGACACAAAGCCACAGAGGAAATTTGGCATCAGCAGTTAGGACATCCGTCGCAAAGGATTTTAAATCATTCAATCCGAGCAGCAGTTGTTGATAAAAACAGCCTTCTCTTACCTGTCGGCACAGAGATCAAGCCGCAGTCTCACCCGACGGTTTGCATCACGTGTCCGGTCGCCAATCTTACCCACGACCCGTTTGCAAGTCATTTTCTTGGCTCCACACGTTACAAACTG